TTCTACCAAGCCAAGCTAATCTTGACGACTTAACATACGTTTCAAGATCTATTAAGTTCAAGCCTCCGTATTTCAGGTCATTTACAGCTGCCAATCTAGCTATTTTATCTGTCCCTTTCCATAAAAAATTGTACATAATAGTGTTTAATTGTTTCATAAATTCTTCTGGAGTTGTTAGAACTGAGAACACATATAACATTTTGGGAAACAGAAGTGATTTAATGACGGTAACTTTGCCAAATAGTGAGAGACCTCGGCAATTCCATAGCCGTATTTGTGTTCAAATGTCTTTTAATTTATCATAAGAATTTTTCTGTAATTGGTCAGTATCATTATAGGCAAATACGTTAGAGGATTAAGTTCTTCCCTGCTGACACCCTATTTGCATGTACACATTTATATATTTTTGGTGCAAATAAAGTTGTTATAATATAATTCGGAATACGAAACTGATATATTCATCAGTGTCTATTTTGTTACACTGTTTACAGATGGCATACTACACTGAAGAACGTAAGAGCAGATATATAAACAATAAGCTACCTCTGGCAAGAAAATGCTTCTGACGGATACTTATTATCTGTAGATATTATTTGGTCGAGACACAAAGGTTTCCAAGAGCAAACCTCCAAGAAAACTGTAGGATTAAACCCCCGGGTATCATTTTTTTGCCCCTGTTTGGCATGGTGCTCCCCGAGCGATCCTTAGATAGGGTACCTAAAATAGCAGTGCGTTAATACCCAAATTCTATACTTGATGCTTAACTTCTGATGTTACAGAAACGAAATAAAGTTGACCCGTTCACGCCATTCTTAGTTTTAGTTCTTCCTGAATAAGGTGTCTTTTTTCGGGTGTGAGCCTTACATAGGGTATCAAGTTTTGTTTGCTTCATCCTTAAACAGGACCTTCCGCGGAAAACATCTATCTGAAATTTAGGGGGGGCGGGGGTAGCATTTTATCGATCAGTAACAGCTAATTCTAGTGGACTATTTTTTTTTTGTTTTTCACGTCAACTTATCCAGTACTGCATTCCAGGTTGTGTTTTTCTATTGATGGCCATTTGAGGCCGAGTTAGAATTATTAAGGTCTTCCGAGAGATTTATCCGCAAAACTTTTCCGAACTGCCTGCGATATTTATGACTTCTCATACAGTAAACATACGGATTCAGTGCAGAATTACTTGCCAAGACTACCTGAACCCAGGGGAGGAGTTTCTTGAACAAAAGCGGCTTTTTAGAAGGACTAACAATGGCAGGAAGAAGTAGGAATGGTAGCCAACAAAGAGCATAGATTCCAACAACGATGAAAATGGTCTTGGCTGCCTTTTTATCGGTTTTAAGCTGTTGTGTAGTGGATGTATTCATTGCTTGAACTTTGTTTTCTTGTCTCTTGGCAATAACAAAGATGTAGGCATACATGGAGATTGTACTTAACATTGGAACGATGCAGTAGCCTAGCAGAATGATTTTGGAAAACATTTCCTGGGCGTAAAGCCCTCCAGCTGTGAGAGAGATGAGCCATACTATCGCAATGATAATGTAGGCTCTGTTGGTGGTCATAATCCCCAAGTATTTGAAAGGGAATCTAATGGCGATTACGCGATCCACCGTCACAGCAAACATGTTGGTGACAGAGGCGATCAAGGAACAGTGGCCGAAGAAACTTCTTGTTATTCTTAAACGCGAGCCCTGTTGCATCACTTGACTTGTAAAGTGATTGTAACGGTAGATCGACAAGGGAAGGTAGATGGAACACACGGTCAAATCCGAAAAAGCCAAGCTTGATATGATGAGGTCGGAAACACCGCGAAGGCTTGGAGATTTCAAGACGGCTAGGATTACCAACACATTTCCGAAACTACCACAGAAACTTGCCAGAGCACATATAACGGAGAGAATCACCACTGATTCCTGATCTAATTCAAGATTTACAGAGTTCGCTGCGCTGGTTTCATTTGAAACGTTTGTCTCAGTTCCACTGCAGTTGGCTACACAAGACATGACTGTGGTGTATAAAGAGCAGGTGAAATTTTAAGAGTTCTGTTTCAAAGTCGCACTCGATGAACTGTTTTCACTGTGCAAACTAACTGCAAAGCAAGCCAAAATGCACCAAGACTTAATATGGGTGCCAGCTTCAATAAGACTACAAACAAAGACGTAAAATTGTTCGGAAATAGCAACAAGTTGCAATCTGCAAATTTTCAACAGAATTAATCGTAGAAAGAATAAATTAATTAGCGACAGCAAGGCTGGAAAGCAGGAAAAAAAATTAACTACCTGAAATGTAATTTGACGAAGCGATCAGTTTGACTTACGCTCGCTTTGTATCAATAAAAAATGAAGGCTCTAGTCAGTTTGCAACTTCAATGTTTCAAACTGATATCAAATCGCCCACGCCAAAATATTCTTTAAACGTTTTACTTGAGTTTTCCCTAGAAAAGAGCGCAGTGGTTAATTAAACCGGAACTTTTAATTGCGTTGATAAAGTACTTTACCAACTTTGTGTAAAGAGATTGGAGATGTTGAACCATAAGGTCGTGAAAGGTGGGAATTAAGTCGTGGAGGCGAGACTATACAGCGCAAAGCTGATTCTTTTTCCAATTTCATGAGCTTTGTATTAAAGTAGCGGAACATTAAAGCTGTGAAAAATTAATTAATTTATCTCCGGTATATATTCCTAACAGCTAACGTGATAATGGCAATAGTTGGCATTCTGAAAAGAAGACAAAAAATTAGATAACAGGTGATAGATTTGAACCAATACATAGTGCAAATGAAAGACCGTGCAGGAGAGAGCAGACAAATTGCAAAATTCGAGGAATGTGTTAATTGTTCGGTGGGCACGGGGCACCTCCAATTATCGGAACTGAAATAAATAAACTCAGGATTTTAATTTTCGTAAAGTAAAGTCAACTTTATTTAAGCAGGGTGGCTCTATCGGCACCTGGCTTGTCTGCCAATTAAATAGCCATGTAAATATTTTGTAACATGCTGATAATGAAGTAAGGTCTGTTTTGTTTTAAAAATTAAGACATCTAATCTCGGTCTAAATTGTGATACCGTTGGTTTCAAGCTAGTCCTCTCACTGCATTTTTCTTATTGAGAAATTCAGGAAAACAGTCTTCAATTTATTGAAATCACTAGCTCAAGTACTTACACAGCAATGCTAAAATGCCATTCAGATAACTATTCAATTGGTCCAATAAGCAATAAGTCAACCCAAGCTGGACAGCCCGTGGTCGAACAGGTAGTAGAACCAGACAATGTGCCAACATAAAATAATTAATTAGGTTTCATAATGTTTATCACTAGTTAGCCTCTTCCAGGCATTTAGTTAGTTGGGGCGCAGCGCGAAAAACGGCAAGCGAAAATACGAAAAGATTCCGAGCTTTTCAAGGTAATTTGTCTCGTCACAAAGAGATCCTTTTAAAAGTCTTGTGGCTTATGTCAACCTTACCAAACTGAAATGGCCTCTGTGAACGATGTGGTTCTCACGGTGACCTTTTCACTGCTATCCCTAACCGATTTTGTTGGAAACGTATTGGTTTGCCTAATAATTCTTCAGCGAAAGCGATTCAGGTTTCGTCGTTGGACTCTCGACTATCTTTTCTTAAATCTGGCGTTGGCCGACATTACGGTGGCAGTGTTTGCAATTCCGCGATATGTGCTAAACCACGCTTTCGCACATCCTCTTGGCTCTGTTGGCGACTTCTTGTGCCGTTTTGTCACGGGAGGAAATCTTATGTGGACCGGAGGGGCAGCATCTGTCTTCACACTTGTCACCATCGCCTTCGAACGGCGCCATGCTTCCCGGCCTTACCAGGTCGGTCAAAAGTTGTCCAAGCCGAAACTGCGAGTTTTGGTGTTATCCTCGTGGATTTCCGCTTGCTTGCTCAATCTTCCTCTGTTTTTTATCATGTCTTATGACAGCCGAAGCAACTTCTGCATAGAAAACTGGCCACATCCTCTACTTCCTAAAGTATACGGAATAATTTGGTTTTCTGTAGTCGGAGCAATACCAATTATCATTATGGTAGTTTTATATTCTAAAGTGGCTTATCACCTGTGGGTAAAAAGGTCAGTAGCAAGGCTTCATCGCACAGCTCTTTTAATTCCAAAAAAAGCTACTAAAATGGCTATTACATTAACAGTTATTTATTCAATCTGTTGGTTGCCGAATCTGATTCTCTACATCCTGGTATTTAACATTTCTGATACCTTTTACGGATCGCCGCTGTACGGATGGACTGTGGTACTGACCTGTTTGAACTCTGCAGTCAATCCCTTTGTGTACACTCTTCAAAGTCGACGCTTCAGAGCCTCTGCCAAACAAGCTTTGTTGTGCAAGTAAAGAATGAGTTTGGTTTTGCCTACGTGGAGACACTGGCAATAACTGAGAATAACAGAGGAATTGAGGCAGACAAACACTACGGAATTGTTATACGCGACTGAGCCGTAGCTGATGTTGGGAATTCCATAGTGCGAAATGAAATAACACAACAACTGGAGTGCAGAAAAAAGCATAAAGCACTGTTACAGTAAGGATCATTTTGGTGATCTTCTTTCTCGCTCGCAGCAGAGCAAGTCCCGATAGCTCTCAAACGGTTGGTGTACCAGAAAACCACAGTGGACAATACAGATAACGGTAAACCCATATGGAATCAGCGAGTCAAGCACGAAAAGCCATGCTTCCATAAAAGTCAATAACTACGTCGTATTTCATAACGAAGGTGTACCACCCTTTAAAGTTGCAAAAGCCCAACTTTCCACGACCAGTATTTCAACATTTTGAACATTGAATATATTACGAAGTTAAGGGTAGGAGTAACACCGCTCTCGCTTCTCCAGCCTGTCAATTCTTCGTATCGATTCCATTTGTTTCTCCTAGCAGGGGTCTATTTGGAGACAAACAAATTTAATCATTTACATATATATTGCTGCGCTCTGTAAAATCCGATGAAAACTTGTTTCAACAACCTACTAGTTATGCAGCGCTTTGGAGTGGTATACACGCTCGCCTTTCATTAAATAGGCTGAGATCTCTGTGAAAGTCAATTGTTTAATTTCGTGTAAAATTCGTCTTCATACCTTTTAAGGTTTTAAAATAATGTCTTCATTTATGCTCCGAAAAAAGATTAGCTGACCAGTTACAAATGGTTCTAAGCTATGGATGTTGAAATTTAACCGATAGTGACTTAAGGCAACTGAAGGCGAGCAGGCCTTTTTCAGGAGACACGGCTCTGCGGTATTTCACAGTCAAACAGCCTTTTTACAATAACTCATTTCTCGTGCGCTGATTGGCATTTTTATCATCAATAAGAGTACAGACGGATAAAATTTTAATTTATGCAAGCTTTCAAGTTCAACTTTCAGCTGTCAAACTGTCAACTTTTTAACCAATGAGATTTTATGGACTTTTTTAAGTAGCCAATCAAAAAGCGAGAAAAGCTATTGACAATGTTCGCGTCATTTTGAATAAAATTCACTTATCTTTATTTACGGCAAGTTTACGGCGTCTTTTGCKCTCATTTATTCCCGGCATTTGACCATTTTGAGGTGTTGTTATTGTAAAAAAACAAACGGACGTCAATTTGTTAATTCGCATATCTTCTGTTCACGTGAATAACACGTGCAGTCTCCTTGGATGTAGAAGTCATAGTTCCCAGATCGCTGTTTGGGAACGAGACCAATTAACCGCTTACAACTTAACCAGGAGACCTCAACAGACAACACAGCAACTCTATAAAGAATGTTTTATTAATAAAATAAGACATGTTTTACCATGTTTATTGCGTTGACTTTTTGTTAAGGTAAACAACTGTTAATTCTGGTTTCAAGCGCAAGAGTCCACGCAAACACTCAGCAACGCAAGTACAGCCACAAGAATAAAAACACTTCGAACATTTGAGATCTTTGAACGTTCCTGCTGAAATGTTTTCACCTTCGGTTTTGGTTTTTGTTTGCGTAGACCCTTGTGCTTGCATCACTAGTGAAAAAGAATTTTTTTTGGTTACAAAAATCTTAATCAAAAAACTGAATTACAGGTAAAGAAACAACGTGCTAATTGACAATATTACAATTTATCGAATGCGGCAACTCCCCTTTGCGGCAGACACTTTGGACGAACTCGTGAAATTACTGCATCGATTTGCTTTTACCCTCCCAAGCTGGCCAAGCCATTTAGTTTGGAGTGCCTACGTATTACAGAAAGTAGACTATACAACATTTCAGAATGAATTACGTCCTCTACAGCAATTTTGATTGACTATCAAACTCAACTATGTATTTTGCTTTAGCTTTTCGTTTGTGTTCTGTAATTGAATTATAGCGCTCGTGCTACACACGCTAACCAATTACAAGCAAACATACTCTCATGTTACGCGGGTTTTCCTGCGCTTGGCACGGGCTGCATGCGAGTTTCTTCTCTTCGTGAATGATCCGAGGTGATCACATTGACAGACACTGCAAAACTACTTCACCAAAAATAATTCGGACAAGTGAAAAACTTGTTCATACAGAACTTATGAACTAGTACTACTACTACAGTCTAATAACTGTGTGGTCATTGCTTAAGTACTGGACTGACACTGACAACCTAACAGAGAGAATACACACGCCCATATCAACTTACAACCGTATTTTAATGCAAGTTTTAAAAACCAAGAACGCGATACCCCCCAAAATGTGTTTGAAAAGGTTGCCTTCCACTACAAACACTATGGAATTTGTTACAAGTTAGTTAAAAATACTGAATTAAACGATACCACTTGAATTCCTTACAGCCACCGTTCCCTCAGATATAACTTACTTGGTCATGGCTGATCCCCCGTTTTTGATGAACCCCTATAAAGCTGTTGGGCGTGGATTCTGGATCATGATTGCCGGTTGGTCAATAGGTCTTTGGTCGGTCAATTTGCCGAATGAGAAAATCTTACTTTGACTAATACTGACGAACTATGTTGATAAAGTGACGGAAAGGAGTATAATATGTCCCAATTTCTTGTTTCTCGCTTGTTAACGAGAAAACATTTACAATTACTCTTGTATTGTCATTTAACTACCATTATTTAGCTTCTAAGTCCTTCTTAAGCCTGACAAGGGACGAAACCTCCATTTATAAGTCCAGAATCACCAGTGAGAGGCTTTTAAACCCCATCGCTGTCAGAATCACTGTAGAAGTCCTGTAGCGTGACTCTATTAAACTTGTACTTCTGTCTGTCACAACAGTTCATGTATGACCACCAGCCCCGTGTCCTCCCCACTGACAGATTTTTTCGGCTACCATGGAAACCATTCATTTGGCTGTGTTTGTCTCGGTGGTAGGCGCGCAGGCGCAGTGTAATGCTGATGATAAGCAGGAAAACGATAGGTACAGCTAAAACTGACAGAATGATGAGTGCAGGGATTATTCCAGCGGTTATATTATCACTGTTACTACCGTCCACGGAGTCTTCTTGCGGTCCACTGATAGAGCTGTTTTTACCTGTGCCTGTTCCTTTTGGGATGAAGCGCGACTGGTCAGTAACATTGACCCAAGTAATAACGCTCTTCTTTGAAGGTTCTTCGATTCCAGTATCATTAACTTCACCCAGACCAGTAGAATTTTGGTGATATGAAGGACTGCTGGGAGACCTGTTTCCATCTCCACTGTATTCAGTCATTACAGCTTGGTCTGTACCAGCGGAATCTTGGTGACTAGACGTGTCTATATCGGGCTTGTTTTCATCGCCATCCTGTTTAGAATTGACGTCTTTACTGTCCACAGCTTGGTCAGGTGATTTACCCATGGGAGTCTGGTGACTACCTTCATTAATCTGTTCGCTGGTTAAAACGGGTACAGTGGCCAATGGAGTAGTTGCAGCACCTGCACTCGAGGAATCTGTCAATAAAACAAAGTATTTAGAACATGAAGGCTTGACTCAACCCATTTTCCTTCGTGTCACGGTCTGAAAAACCTGTAAGTTTTACGCCGTTTCAGGACTGTCAATTCGGCTAATACCGTAAAAACCCGCATGTAAGAACCAAGTGGTTTAAAAACCTGTTGGCAGAAATGTGCCATTTTAAAACCCCAAAATATGAGAACCTGTTTGGCCAAGCAAGATCAAGCACGTTCTTATATGTGGGTTTCATCTAAATTATGAATTCTTGTTATATAAGCAACGCCACATAATGGACCCTTTGCAGCTGGGGTCACGTGACCAAATTTTCCCTAGAAAAATTCTATATTATGGGCTGTAACTTAAAGAATGCCAGAAGTGGAAAGAGCATATCGAAAATACCAAAATGGCCAAGTTTGAGGCCCCTGGCATTAAAAAGTAAGTTGACACTACAGTTTGAATTTTCGGAAAATTTAGAGGATTTGTATGGAAAATGTTGCTCTCCCACAACTTTTTCCACACAAATCTTCTTAATCGTTCAAAGATTCAAACCGTCTTAAAATCTCATTCTTTAATGCCAGGGGCCTCAAACTTGGTAATTTTGATATTTTTGACATGCTTTTTCCATTTCTGGCATTCGTTAAGTTATAGCCCATAAGTTTATGAAAAGTAGGTCACGTGATGACTTAGCTGCAAAGGGCCTACAAACATCCCGTAATCAGTTGCAAAAGGCTTAACTTGATACAGTTGTGAATAAATATTTTGTATTTACATGTCACGAACACACCCAAATTTATTTATATTTCTGGTAATCAACAACTATGTATATATCTCAGCTGCTTAGCCTAAATTGCTAATAGGTACCCCAAAATACAAGAACCTATTTTGCCAGACTTCAAAAAATGTAGGTTCTCACAAGCGGGTTGTTTTTCTGTAACCGATGTTAGATTTTATGCCTTACTCCCACATCTTCACAGATCTATAACCGTTACGCACTAATGTTGAGTAACAAAAGTTACAGTTTAAATAAGAACGAACCGGTTGGTGGTTTGGAGGACAGTTTCCAAAGTCTGTTCGGACCAATCTCCACTACAAAAACATCACTTCCATCAACAGAGGAAACCAGGTCATGGGGTTGGGACAGAGCCTGTACAGAACAAACAGAGCAGATCAACAGTTAAGCACGAAATGCCTTCGCAAACCACAACCACGAGCAACGGTTTACGCACCTTGAAAAGGTCAGCCTAAATTTATCAAATTCGTCATTTGTAATCCTTGCCAATCTTCTCCATCCTTAACCATCCTTGTTCGGTCATGGTTTATTATTATCTCGTTAGTGTTTTTCTATCGAAGTAAACCATTATTCTAAGGTTTCTTTCAATTTAAAGGTACTTTTGTACGTGTCCAAAGTAACTCAAAATATCGTGACCGAGCTACTTAAAAAGCTGAAGTCTCAGAAGTCTGAGTTTGTCACTTAAGCAGGAATGGGAACAAAAAAACTACAACTACATTTTGCTTTAACAAGCCGTTAGTAGCAAATAAAACAAGCAAACAAACAAACAAAAAACAACAACAACACTTGAGAAGAATGACAAAGGCAAATTCCATCGAATGTTACGTCGTTACCTGATCGGTATTCGAGGGCCATGTTTGTAAGACGGCTTTGTCTGAAATCCTGATAGTGAACCCCTGTATGGGCACATACAAATCTTGATCCCGATTTGGCCCGTTCACAACGTACAAGACTCCACCCTCTGAGCCGAGATACAACAACAGAAACACATCAAATCAAATCATTGAATCTACCGAATTCAAAACACATATATGATAAACAACTCACGTGCATTCTGACTGTAAGCCACTGCATAAACAACTCCTCCAAACGCCGGTAACTTGATTTCGTCCAAGAAGGTTCCAGAGATTGAATTAAATGATTGCACACGGCCATTCTCTCTGTCAGCAACATACAGAGTGTGATTTGCTTGGTCCAGAGCAAGACTGTGGGGAACTAAGAACGAGCCGGGAGCGAGGGAACCTGGGAAAACAGTGACACCGGTTAATGAGATTTTTGTTTTGATTCCAGCAAATTTTTCCAAAATTCTTGTTCCTTAGTGTATTGCTTTCCATAATTCAGATCGTCTTGTTTCATAAATTTAAACGAAATGACCTGATTTATTACCGTTTAGAGCGCTTTTCACTTCAGTGTCGAAAAGCAATTGGTTTAGCAATTCTGCGCTACACGATTGGCCAACAAAAATTCGAGGCACCTTTTCCTCCAATCACAAGTAAAACTAAAACCAATCGTCACTCACCCGCATGCATTTTCCCGCGCTTTACGTTAACTACATGAAATTACTTTGACTTTTGATTGGTTCACTGAATTTCCTGTTTCCTTCGTGATTGACCAGAGTGATTACTTTGTTTTTTGGTTTATACGAAAGTCAATGCAAAACCCCTCTACAGAAAGGCAACGTGCAAGTGTTACTTCAGTTCCTATAGTTATGAAATATTTGACAGAAGAAATTGGCGTATAGGCAAGTTTGAAACGTTAAAAGTGCAGTGGAACTCCCGTCTTACGGCCACCCCGTTAATACAGCCACCTCTTTAACACGGCCACTTTATTCTGGCCCAAACAAAAGCTCAGTCAGTCATTTTCTAGTTTAAGAACCCATTTAATACGGTCATCCCTTAATACGGCCAGATTTTTGTGGCCAGCTGGTGACCGGTTAACGGCGTTGCACTGTATCCAGCGGTCAAAGCCAGTTGTTGTTACACTGTATAACACAAACTATAAAGACAGAGCAAGATGAGATAAAAAATGAAGACGTTGTGCATGGAAAAATATCGGTACCTTGTCTAGTGTCAGATTCTTCACCCCATGAACTCAGAAGCTTTCCGGTGGCAGAAAACTTCAAAATACGAGAATTACAATAGCTGTTGAGCAAAAAAATACGATGATTATCACAAGAATCAAGTAAAATAACGACTTGTCGTGATGATGGTGATGACGATGCCGCATGATGATACATCAACTGTAACCATAGTAACTGAGGTTTTTAGCTGAGGGTCAACCCTCTATCAAGGAAACGTAAAATGACAGCATTTTCCGATCTAACGTACCCATCTGCTACAAAAAACTCTCCGCTCCTGTCCACAGCAACAGATGTGGGTTTACAGAATCGTGAACTGCCAGAGCCTGGTACAAGCTTGTCTCCTAATGCCAACAGACGCTGGGTGTTGCTTCCTAGAGGTGAGAACTTGAATACCTGCAAAAGAACGAACACATCTGAACGGTAAATTGGTTCTAGAATTGATTTTAATACCATTTTCCATGTGCAAAAAACGTTCCATGAGGTTTCTTTTTTAAAAAGTTGTTTCGTTAAGCATAGATTGAAATTGGCTGAATCATTTCATTATAGATGTTTTAGGAAGTTTTGTCAACCCGATGAAAAAGTCATATTTAGCTATCCTGCGCAAACACTCGTATTCTGTTGAGCACTGACTTCATCCTAGGCGCGAGAAACATCCAAGATGCGTGGCCATGACTTTCTGCGCACACTTAACGACTTATCAGGGACAACTGCACGAATCTCTTAATAGCTACCCAGTATGGAATTGTTGGGATTAATTCAAATGCGTCGTTCTTGCAAGGCTAAAATGGGAACGCGACAAAAGAAGTCTGTTGTGTCTTGTTTCAAATAGCGTACATGTACACGCGTTAAAGAAAAACGTCACGCGAGAACAGCAACTCCGTTGTAGATTTACAGTAGTCGGCACAGTATTCATGTTTGCAGGCCAGCCATGACTAATGATTGAACATACATGCAAACTGCACTTGCTACGGCAGCAGTTTCACAGAGGAAAAATGTTTGAAAAATACAGTTCACAGTAGTCTCTCTTATACTGCTAAATCTCTTCTTGATAGTGTAAAACTTGAAGAGTGTTAAAGTAGATGTAGAGCACAGTACACAGAAATAGAACCACTTCACAAACCTGGTGGCTGCCAACATCAGTCAGCCACAAGTTGTCTTCATGATCAACTGTTAGCCCATGAGGCAAATAAAACCTAAAGCAGCATAAAATAACATATTAACAGTCACAAACAGGAAAACATCAAGTCAGTATTGCACCAAAAAACGTGAGTTAAACGCTTTGTGGATGAGCTCAAAAAACGGTCCAACATAGGTTTGGCGGGGTGCGGGATGAGAGAAAATGAAGGCGGGACGCGGGATGACAGGAGCGGGATGGCGGAATGCGAGATTGAAAATGGCAATGTTGAAACCTCAAAAAAAGTTACTTTGAGTTTGACATAATGGTTTCAGAGCTGGTATAAAATCGCTCACTTACATGTCCCTGCCCCAAAATCCTTTTACTTTCCCACTCACAGAATCCAAGATCCACACAGTATGTTCTTTGATGGTGCCAACAGTATCAGCATTGTGGAAAACATCAGCAGAATCAAATGTGCTGTGAAGTGAAATGAGAGTTCTACGTATAAGAATCTGAAGGATTTAACATACAAGTGTTGCTTGTCCTTTGCAATAATATGGCAAATTTGAATGATTTAAGCTCCTCTGTAAACAATGAATTTCACATTAAGTCTACACTGTTGTTATATATGTGCATGCATATGTTGTTACTGTTGCATACATGCTTTACGTGTATAATAATGCTATCCAGTTGCAAGACACAATGGTATGACTGTTTTAATTAAAAACGATTGTTTTATACCAGTTATAAGCATTCCTTGGTATAAGCTGGTCAAAAACCATTACGAGCATACAATTACGAGCATACATGAACTCATGAAGTATACTGGTAACTGGGATTGAACCGTGACAGAAGTAACAAGTGTAGTTGTGTGACATACTTCTCGTCCCATATTCTGCTGGCACGATGAAACACAATAACTTGTTCCTTGGAATCAAGTGAAACTCCTGTAACTTGTCCCAGTTTAGACGTTTCTATTGCTGTTAAGCTTGGCCAATCAGACACAACATGGAGCTCCGGGATATGTTCCTCATTATCTCTAGCTTGTGTAACAGGACCATCTGGTTCAGATGTTGGAGTCACAGAAGGAAGAACAGGCTGCATTTCTTTGCTAGAAGAAACCATTCCCTTGGAAACTTCCACGAAAACCATATCTTGGTTTGATTTGGTACTTGACTTCGGTGATTCCTTCTCACCAAACTCCAAATCAGAAATATCCATTCCATGGTTTCTGTCACGACTTTTTGAATCACTTGATACTTGAACATAAACGGTTGCCTGGGTGCTTTGTTCTTCAGGAGTTACTGCAGAGCTATGTACAGGGCTGGTGGCTTGATCTGATGAAGCTTTGGAGTTGGACGAATGAACCAAGGGTGTGTCAGATCCACTTGGAAAATGCTTAAAAATTTCTGGATGGTCCTGCTCTCCACAATCTCCACCAGAATATTCCAGGCGGTCTGCATTACTGTAGTACATGATGTAAAAATTGCACATTTCATCGTGGCCTGATGACCTGAAAATTTAATGGGAAAAAAATAATAAATTCTAAGTATGTGGAACGTAACTTGTACTACTCACATTTTCCCCTGTCAGTGTCAACCATTTCAGTTTCAGCTACTTCACGATGTTAAAATTCTCCTTATTTAGTCCCATACATTTCTGTTTTGTCAGTTATGAGAATATGGTTTTGACATCAGACCTGTAGATGCTTGTCAATCTCTTTCATTGTCTGTAGACACTCTCATTTTCATTATATGTAGGTCAAACACTTACCCCATATGAACAACACCATGTAAGTTATGACCTCTCGAATCATATGTGCAACGTGCAACCTGAAATGGAAAAAAAAAAAAAGGCAGAACAGAATCGATAAGCCAAAAAAAAAAAATATTAACAAATAAGGTGATGTGAAGTAGGAAATTTAGATAAAACCAGAGTTTAATCTCACCAAGATGTCTCCTTTCTTTATGTCATATGTCTTGTCCATTGGATAAAATGCCTGAAAAATCACCACAAAAATAGTAATGATCAGAAAGTACATGTAGTGTAACAGCTGAAGGAGCTGACTCATATCATGCTTTTATTTTCAATGAAGACAGTTCACAAACAGCAGAAGGCTGATAGATTCAAAGAGCATGGTGTCAACACTTCAAATGTGCAACTTAAGCAATAATTCCTTTTGGCCACATAAACAACCCTAGTCTCCTCTGCAGGCGTTTTTTGGAGTGTTGTGTGACATCCTCATAATCACTTCTCAAAGAATAGCAATAAAAGGTCTTGTGCCATGACCTACTAGGAAGTGTAGCAAGAGTCCATCAATGAGAAAAGAAAAATCAAGCATTCCAATGTTTGAATGAAGCAAATTATATGTCCATTACCTGTGGCGCCTGAGGGTCTCCCTTGCCAAGCAAAGTCCAAACACCACTACGGACCCGGTAACCTGTTATTACCTTGGCTGAAATAGCAAGGAATGTATAGAGATTGATGACACTGACAGTAGTTATTTAATTAGTTATTTGCTGCTGCCATCCAATTGCAGTTCACCCTCTTTAGTTCTTTGAACTTATTAAGTAAATAATCACAGAGATTCAGTTACTTAGAGCCTGAACAACAATCTGAGTGTGTTCATTGTGTAAGAATATTGAGACAACAAATGACAAAACTTAGTTGAAAAAATTGAAATATTTTGACTAATACCATTGTCAGAGTAAAAGAGGCATACAAGGTTGGTCTTAATAGCATGCAGGGGCAGATCCAGGATTTTTCTTAGGGCCGATTTACACGATACGACTTTGTCGCATGCGACAAGTTTATGACAGGCCATGACATGAATTGTTCCATGTAAATCAAACATACAACTTGCTTATGACTGTTGTGTACGTCAAAAAAATTGTTGTAGGATTTTAAAACATGTTTTAAAACGCTGCAACAATCATAGTCAGAATTGATAGAAAATGACATATTTTGTGACAAACTGCTACTGAGGTGGGGACAAAGGAGACATTTTTCTTGCATCGAAATTGCGGATGAAGTTGTTGTTGACTGATTCACATGAAGTCGTTTCTCAAAAAGTACTGAACAGATTAAAGCGAAAAACATCTTGTTAGAGAGTTTTTCCAAAGCGCAGGACAGCTAAAATATTTGTTTACCATTTGTTAGAACTTTCGCTCTGTAAATCCTGGTGCAAACTTTTGCATATTTAATTTTGTAAGTGAAAATGTTGTGCATGTGTAAATGGTCCTAAGTCATGTCGTAGGCCTGTCATAAGCTTGTCACATGCGTCAAAGTTGTACCATGTAAATCGGCCCTTAGGAGGGGGTGCACCACTAAAGAATGGCGTAACTGACTAGTGAGGTAAACAAATTTTAAAAGCCAATACGAAGAAGAAGGCTTCATCTCAGGGTTGGGGGGGGTTATGCACCCCCTGCACCCTCCTCCCTAGATCCACCCCTGGCATGTTCATAAAAGTGGATTGCAGTCCCCCAGTTGTCATGTATAGCATCTTTTATTAGCCCCATCAGACATGAAGTTGTGTCACATGCCAGACCTTGTCTCAAACTGCTATTGTACTGACCTATACTTCAAAGCTAGAGAATCTTACCATCACTTTCCTTATGCCTTGTTAGACCTTTCTATTGATACTACTTACCAAGTCTATGAGCATGGGTGCGGTAGGCAAAAGCAAACATTGTTTCTGGTTTGTTGTATTTACAAGCCATGTCAACATGAATGCCTAAAAAAATAAAACAACAAGTCATTACTTTATACATGTACTATACATCCCAATAAGTTGTTGGCTATTACTGACAATAACTCTTCTTTAGCTGTTTCAGGTTTAAATAATAATTTTCTGCATTGCTTGGACCCTGCAACTACTATTTTTAAATTTTGGTTCTGAGAAGAGTTTAATTTTTAAGTTGACATTGGCTGATGCAGATGCTAATTGTAAGGACAGTTAATTTTCTAGAAATTGTTAGACAATGTGAAGTCTTATACACTGTATATTGGGTGATCCCAAAAGGACTGGTGATACTGATGTTAGACAAATAATTATTGTTGTTTGTACATCAGCAGTGCACCAATTTATAAGCAATCGAGAATGTCTTTATAGAGCAGAAATCTGAATTCATAACTTGGTACAAGTACCTAACCTGCTGTTTCTGGTGGAATGGAGCCACTATAAGCCCACAGAAGATATATTCCTCCTCCATAGGGAAGGCTAAAACAAAACGAGAGCAAAATGACTGTATTCTCTAAATTCAGAAAACAACAACAACTGTCTGACCAGCCAGCCAACAAAATGTCCAACTCAGGGGATCCACGTACATGTAACCCCCAAAAGGCTTCAAGTTGCTGTCAGGGGTGGTAAATTTGTGTTTAGGGGAATATTATCAATATTTTTTTTGTTCAAGGTACATATATACATTAACACACTTAGCTTAAGAAAGATTCAGTCAAGCCCTGTGCTACCCATAGTGTGCATATAAATGACATTTCACTGAGAATACTAGTATATTAAAATTTTTTCTACCATTTCGTGAGTTACAAATTTACATGTAAGGACCTTTCCCAGTCTGCAGATCTATCACTTTTTCTTCCAGTTTGCAGCATTTACCTATCACTGAGTACTGCATTGTGACTAGTTGAATTCTTGCTTGTCGTGAAATTAAAAAACTCTTTGTCTGACAGAACTGGAAAAAGTGAGCTTTAATGATTTACTAAAAATGAAACCTCTTTACAACAAGCAGGATGTTCCACAACAATCTGGAGACAAATTAAGGATCTCAATGAACACTTCCTTGAATGAACGTTTCTATGAAGTAGTCCTGTTAGAGTTTCCCCAGAGGTAACTACTTCATATATATAAGCAGTGCACATCTGACTGTTTAAATAGAGAATAACTCTCTGTAGTATTATTATAATTATATGACAGTACTGTACATGATTTCAACTACATGTACCAGAAGCAGGGCTGCAAATAACAGTCGGTCATTGGACATTGGCTGACCAAAATTTGCTCATGTCTGATGAAATCCCAACTGTGGTCAGACATCGTAAATCATGTTACGATAGTGACAAAAAAAATCTACTGTGAGTAAATCTTACTTTTTTTGGTGATGTCCGACCACAATTTGTTTTGTCCAACCAAGATGGTGTCTTAGTAGGACATATGTCCTTTCTGGAGAACAAAAATTATTTGCAGCCCTGAGAAGTACATTCTTGTCTCAGTATTTACCTTTGGTGGCTGGTGTGGAGAATAAATCCTGAATAGTCTTTAGCCCCAGCTAATAAAATGGCAAATAATAAAATCAAATTTAATGCAACAATTTCATCTCCATTTGGCTTAAACATGGATGTATTAATATGTACCTACCAGTAATAACATACATGTATATTTTCAACTCATATGAAGGTTACTTTTTTATTAAGTTTTAGATGCCAGTGTTTTACTGGAAAACATACCACTTGTAAAATTCATACAAAACTACATTTAGTCCCTGAGTATTGCATTTTCCATATTCTCACTAGTGACGATATTGATTACGTCATTATTTTCCAGCTTTTACACAGTTGTCTATGCAAACAGTCAGTTTGTTTATAAAATAAGAAGAAAATTGCATGATGGCTTGAATATATGAATTTTATTTTCTTGTGTTAAAAACGATATTTTACTCACTAATCGTGCTCCTTTGTAAAATATTGTTTATGCTACTTAAAATATTGTTCACGTCACCATGTAATATCTTCTGTCTAATATTAATATTGGTCATCTTACCTCGGAAAGAGTCCACAGATGCATAGTGCACTTGTAACACAAGATAATTAATTCCTGAATTTCCTCCTACCGCAAATCCAACATCTGACATAGAATAATATATTAACAACAATACCCTGATTCAAAATTTATAATTTTATCCCATAATTCTTAACATAACCTTTAAGCTAAGCACTGATGTTCTTGAGACAAAACAGGGACTGAAAGAAACTACAGGTGCATGCCTGACAAAACTGAAGACGACACAAAGCAAGCAGGGACGTACACTGTAGCCAGGACTTTTCAAAGCAGGGTCAGACTGTGCTAAAGTGAAGGTACTCACCAGATTGTTGTGTCATTTTTGCCACCTGTTGTAGGTTGTTTGCTTAAGAAAGGCTTACAAAAGGGGGGGTCACAGGCACCCCAGGACCCCCCTAGATACACCCCTGACAAGATTACCAAAGAATTGAATACAAGTACACTGCAGGTATCTTGTACACAAAATGTGATCCATAATTACTTCTTGAAGGGACTTTTTGAAGTAAAGATATAACATATTAAGAAAAACGTTTTTTGTTTCATAAATACAGGACAGAATACCTCACTCACCTTTGGGTAAGAATTTAGCAGGTGCATCTTTGGCCCAGGCATAAATAATGTTTTGAGAACCCTCACATTCCCTGTATGGTCCACTTTTACAATCCCTGATGTTCAAGGTAATAGTAAAAAATTCATGATTATTATGTTGGGTGACCTGGTAATTTATTTTTTGTTAATTTCTACATGCTTCAACTTTTACACTGTAAAGTACAGGACTGGGTTGTTCAAAAGCCGGTTAATGCTAACTGAGGATTAAAAGTTAAGCAAAGTATTTAATTATTTTGTATAAAAAAAATTTGACTGCTTATGTTTTGTGTAGTTTGAGATTACTCTGGGTCAAAACTCAAGGGCAAACAATATATTAAACAGAAAAACCTCACCGAAAAGTCACAAAACTGAAATCAAAATTCATGTTAATCCTGGATTAGTTTAATTGGGCTTTGAACAACCCCAGCCAAGGGTATTAATTATAACTATAGGTTACACTGCATTAGGTGAAAGTGGAGCATACCGTCACAGGTACAGTTGTAATCCCAGTGTCTATAGCATAGCATGAACCAACTACCATACTAAAATGGTAATTAGTAGAACTACTACTCTTGAATGGGATACTTAAAGGGGCTAGGTCATGCAATTTTAGGCAATTTCAGCACTGATCAAATGGTCATAGAATTAACTAAAATATCTCAAAAATGGCTCAAAACTATAGACGATCTCAAACAAAACACAGGAAAGCCAAGAAGGGACATCTATGGACAAAACTGGAGAGGATTACAATGGATTGCATTTGGGTAAATTTGAAAAACGTCAGCCCACCTGCTTTCAAATTTATATCAGTTTACATGAAAATGTCATTTACACAGCTGGAAAATCATTCTCAGTTGTTATGTGGCCGTGATTTTGCAAATGAAAGACTTTTGCTCTGCCAATTTGACGTTTAGTGCTCATAATTAACAAAATTAAACAAAATTACCTAAAATAGCATGACCTAGCCCCTTTAAGTCCATTGAGCACCAGTTGGTTACCAGCCAACAAGTTACACTTGCATCACAATTTGCTGGAACTGACACCATCACCCTATCAGCTGCAGGACCTGGATCATTTCATCACAAATCTAACATGTCATAATCAGTACTAGACTAGCCACCTTTCCTTCTACCCGACAAGATGACCCAATTCATAGAGCAAGTAATCTAATACATAGAGCACCAATAGTACTAATTAACTAATACATAGAGTAGAGAATTCTACATTGCATAATTATTATACAGCTGTACTCACCAGCTAGAAAGAAGAGCTCCTGGTAAACTACAACCATATAACAACATGTGATGTGCTGTCTTCTGTGAAGCACTTGGTTCAAAGTGAACTAAAATATATACAACAGAACATGCCACATTATTCAAACAAATATATCTTTTTTATTAAAACCCTTTTCCACAAAACACAAAAGTATTATCTATTGAATACAGCCATAT